CTCCAATTTCAATAAGGTTCGTCCTAGGGCCAAACAAATGATTTGTGCAAAATTTCATCTGGATAGGACAATAAATGCGTACTGTACTTTGTTAACAAAAATACATGGACAGACGGACGGACGGACATGCATAAATCGACTCAGAATGCGATTCTATGCAGATCATCAAAAGGAACTATGGGTTTATCTTCTTTCCTTTTGCCTGTTACAAACAAATGCACAAAGACATAATACCCTGACCACCTTGTGGTGTAGGGTATAAAAAGTGGTCATATTCTACGGATTTATATTTATTGAAACCCCAACTGAAGCGTCAGGTTTTATGTTGGTTAATGACCTAATGGGTTGGAGGAAAATTGATGTCCGTGTCCGTGTGTGGGCCCAGTATTTTATTAAGTTTTTTGTTGAACGCGTTCTCTATTTCTTACAATAATCAGCATAGTCCTGGCTTAAGAATCATGTTTTTATTTTTTTAGAATAAGTACTCCCGATCAGAAAACAAAGATTTTGCTTGATTTTCTCTTAAAAAAATATAAGCAAAATTCAAATGAAATTGTAAGTGAATGTAAATATTTTCGTTTGTGACCCAAATATTTATGTATTTGTTGTAAACCTATATTGTGTTAACTTATAACATTTGGTATTTAATTAAAAGTATGAGTATGTATGTTTGAGTAAAAAAACAACACCGGCAGGCATTAAAAGTTTATTTACAATTGATAGGCATTTGGGTATAAATCGAAACATTTAAATTGATTTTTGCTGGCATTAAAATATCATTTTTCATTCTGTTACAATGTTTGAATGTATGTGTTTTTTCTGTGGCTCAAAAATGTATGAATGTAGTTGTATATATTGGTTATGTGTGTGGTTAGTGCTCGGTGTATGGCTATTTCTCTCGTTGCAGTTATAACATTCATCATTCGGTCCATCATTCAATCAATTATTTTAACTAATAAAGCATTTGGTTTCGTTTTGATGTTTTTTTGTTCTTCTCTCTTTTGTTTTGTTTAATGTTTTGGTACATTTAGCATTTGAGGTTAAATTTTATCTTTATCTAGGTTGGTTTTGTTTTATTTATTATTTGTAGTATTATTTTGTAGATGTAGCATCCATTTTCAACATGTTTTTTTTTGTTTGCTTTTTATTTGGTTCACTTAATTAACAGCTAGGTTCTTTATTTATAATACGTTTTTGATATATTGACAAGGTCGGTTGTTGTGTCCATACACATGGGTGTTAAATATTGAATTATTATTGTGGCCACCAATGTGTATGTCCAAAACTGTCGACCACAGCATGAGGTTAGCACAAATTACCATAAAAAATATATAAATAAACCGATGGAAATAGCAAAAATATTGGCCAGTTGATAGGGGTAATGGTTTATTTAAATTTTGAAATGTTAAAAAAAAAATTAAAAATATATTTATCAAATAAATATCTATCTATCTAAATAAATATTAATAAGAAGAAGATCCACGGAAAATAAATAGAAATCAGTTAAAAGCCCTACACTATGGATATTTGACAGAGATGCTTTTGGTAACACATTTATGCATATATTGGTATATGTGGATCGGAAACATTTGAAAATCTATTGTTTTAGCTTTAGTGCAGCTTTTGTGTCTGGATATATGTATATGGGGGATATAACTAAATCTAAACCTGTTTTACCAATTTTGCTAGAATTAAATTAGTCCGAATGTACCGAAGTGTATTGCAAACAATATATTATGCCTATAAAAAGTAGCTACTGATGTATCCCGTCTCTCTCTCTCTCTCTCTCTCTCTCTTAGTTTTACAGAAAAATGCTTCAAGATTTAAATCCCAGTGTGTAGCGTAAAATACATCGAAATGCAGTCTCCAAAACACATGCAATAATTCCGATTGAATTATATCGGCAATGCACTTATAATACCCCAACGGTCGTTGCCGTTACGGGACAACCAAATCTGACTAAAATCCTAATGATATGCCATATTAAGAATTGTTTTATTGGGAATATTGTATTAAACATTTTCAAAGATTTGATTGTTCGTAACTCTGATTGTTGAACCGAAATAAAATTGAATTTTTAATGAAAGCTTTTGGGCAGGGTGTCACTATATCGTCTTTGTGTTCAACTAGCGGTTGTAAAATGTATCCATTTCAACAATGTTATGTATCCATTTCAATTGACGTGTTCGGCGGAGTTATTCTAACGAAATTCTTAATTTTGTAATAAGTCTTAACTCTACGACCATCTAAAATTTCAATTCAGATTTTAGCATGTTTGCAGAAAACGCTACAATGCACTATGCGCCAATGACATGTTTTTGAGCAAAAATCACAAGGACGAGGTAGACCTTCCAAAGTTAGTTTTTAGATGCTGGTTGTGATGAGAACAACATCTGCCAAATTTGGTTCGAATCGGCAAGAATATAGATATAGCTTCCACGTAGTCAGAGTCGTAATATGTACTCTATAACAATGATATTCGGTACGAGGTATCAGATACAGCTTTGAAATACTTTTGGCGAATTTGGTCAAAATCGGTTCGGATTTACATATAGCACCCCTATATATTCTCTTCAAATGATACATTCATCGTTCTATTTTTGTCTAATTAGGTTGAGTCTGTGATAATACGATAAAATCCCCTCAATGTTAAAGTCTGCCGTATTTAGACTTAATCTTAATGGATTCTTATATATTTATAGCTCTCATATATATGTATCATGAGATTTTATAGGAAGAATTCTCAAAATAACAATATATCCTCTAAGCCAGCGATAGGTGTCATTCTGCGCATTCAATATAGATCGTTGTTGACATAATTTACTCCAAACATATTCACAATATAATCATTTATTTGTTACAAGAAGTATACATAGTGATGTAGGGTATCATAGTGTCGGCCCTGATTATTGTCCTAGACACAATACGAAATTTCTCTGCTAAATTTTGGGGCTCTACGTCAATTATGTGGGCTGTATCGTGATTTCAACAGACAGACAGACAGACGGACATCGTTAAATCGACTTAGAATTTTATGCTGATTATGGATATATATACTTTATGGGGTCTACGACGAATATTTAAGGACGTTACAAACGGAATGACAAAGTTAATATACCTCCACCTTTCCACATATGTGTTGTTTACGATTTGTGAGAAAATTAGATGTTTGATGTTTTCGATAATGCAAAAATTACTAATACAATTCAATATTATAAAAATAAAAGCTGAATTTATTTTATTTCTCATGTATGTTTAGATTGGTTGCGAAATTGAAGAAAGTAGAAAAATATGGAAATAGGTAGAAACAATAAAAAAGGGCCAAATCTAAAGTGATAATAATTTATATTTAACCATTGAAATTTGAAATTTTCCGCGAAAAGGGTATTTTAGTGGTTGCATTGTAATGGGTTATTTTGCAAATAATTTACCTGTTATTTTGTGGTACCAAAAAATCAATGAATGTAGGTGTAAAAAACTAAATTTTTTACAAAGTATGGCTGAGTGTTTAAAATCAGTTTTATGATTTTGATTTATTTAATGTGGTGCATGTGGTACACTACGATTTTTTAGTGTTCCGACTGCGGTACACTACGATCATCGTTGTGTTCCGGTACAGTATCACTAAAATAATTTTTAGTGGTACACAACCGCTAATTTTTTTAGTGATACTGTACCGGCACAGTACACTATGTTTCTGTACTGTTTATTTTCGAACGCTGTTTAAATTCAGAAAATGACGAAAAGAAAATTTGGCATCTTTGACAACTCGGTATACGGCCCTGAGTTATTGCCAGATTGTCATTTTTATACCCTACACCACAAGGTGGTCAGGGTATTATGTCTTTGTGCATTTGTTTGTAACAGGCAAAAGGAAACGAGATAGACCCATAGTTTGATGATCTGCATAGAATCACATTTATTGCCCGATCCAGATGAAATTTTGCACAGATCATTTGTTTGGTCCGAGAACGAACCCTATTGAAATTGGAGATAATCGGTCAAAATTTAGATATAGCTCGCATATATATCTTTGTCCGATTTTCCTTTTATTGTGCACCAAACGTGTAATATCAGCCTGAATTGTATGGAATTTTGCATATACACCCAAATTAGGCCTGAAAATAAGTATGCCAAATTTGATCGAAATCGGTACAGATATAGCTATAGCTCCCATATATATTGTTCATCCGATTTATTATTTTTGCCCTCCGCAGCCGTAATATGCACTCTGCAAAAACAATATTTGGGGAAATATATCAAATACAGCTCAGAAATACATTTGCTAAATTTTATCGAGATCGGTTCAGATTTGGATAATTTAAAAGATACAAATGCTTCTGCATATTTAGTCCTTTGAACTTTAAATTATAATCATAATCATAGCGTGTATGATTGAATTCTCCCATAAAAACTTTTAATTGTTATGCGAAGCTCTACTAAATTAGCAAAGTGGTGTAGGGTATCACAAAGTCGGCCCCGCCCGACTTTAAGACTTTCTTTACTTGTTTCTTTTCGAGATTTTGAAAGTTATATGAACATAATTCCATAAATATTTCATTCAAATGATTAACTTAAAAGATCATCGAAATTACAACTGGCCGAAGGTGGTTGTGACAAAAACAGTAGAGTTTAGATTTCACGGAACTATGGCGGCACATTTATGAAACAATGTCCATTATGTATTCTAAATGAGAAACCTAATTTTGTACCAAATGTGACACGAATCGTTGCAAATGTGAAAGGGAAGGGATATGTTTCAATCATGCAGTTTTTTTTATTTATTTTAAAGTTTTCTTTGTAAAAAAAATCATTAGATGCTTTCTGCTTATCGCCAGTTAGGTTTAATTGTTCGTCAGATGTCATACCTGCACCTTCAGAAGTTTAAGTTCATTATAAAAGTCGAATGAAATATGCAGTGGTATCTACGACAATCGAGTAGAGAGTGCATAAAGAAGTTTGGCCTATACAAACTTATTTTTGATTGTTTCAAACATACGAAACGATAATTGAGTAAATTTATATTTTTATTTATTTCCAAAAGAAACACAAATAAGAATTAACCTAAAAACATATGATTAAAAAAATAATATTGAAATAACAACAAAAAAATAGAAAATCGATTTAAAGCTATTTCCAACAGTATTTTACAACAAAGTGTGTTTGCGAAGGACTTTATGTGCTCATCGTCTGATCATGCTTTTAATTGTTCTCATTTACTTCAGCGTATTTTATTTTTTTTGGATTTAAATAATTATTTCGTAGTTTTAATAATCATAATTGTTTTTATAATATTTGTATGTTTTTTTTTGTTTTATTAGAATATTACCATGTAATTTCTCTATATTTTATTTTATTTATTTTTCTTAAGAAGGCAGTCAAAAATATTATTTAAATTTAAATGTTTCATTTTCTTTAGATGTTGATTTTGGAATTCGCGGTTTTCTAATGAACATAAGGGGCATATTTGTTAAATGAAATATGAATACGCGAATAAAACTGTTTCTTTTTATGCTCGAATAAAAATTTGATACTTTTTTGGGATTTACTTTCATTGATTTGTTTTTTAATTACATTTTTTCTATATTCTGCAAATTTAGCTATTTTTTGTTAATTTTTCTATCACGATTTTAGTGTTTCCCTTTGTTTCTCATTTTTTTTTCATTAAAAAAAGAATGCTTAAATTACAAATAATGTTAAATTTATATTTAAGAGAACATTTCATATTTTCGATTTTGGTTTTATGAAAATTTATTTATTTTTTTTTTTAAAGTTAAGGTGCATTTTATAATATATAGGTTGTTTCTTCTTAAGAATTTATTTAGTTAACAAAAGTTATGTAGAATTTGTATACAAATAAAATTCTATTTAATAATTTAAGCTCAAATTAAAAAAAAAAATAAATAAATAAATTTCACTAAATATATATATTTATGTTTCTAGGATTTGTGTTTAAAGTGGTGTATATGAATGTGTAAACGTATCAGGGGAAATATAAATACATCTGCTATTCCAAGTGTACACCCGAAGTCATTTTGCCTCGGTTTTCAAGTATTGTAACGCCAAAAAATTAAAAAAGAGATTCTTGTTTGATTATTTTGCTAAATTTTCTAAACTGATAATTAGATAGAATATTGTTTATCAAACATTTTAATTGTTTTCTTCTGATTTCAGCCAATTTTAATGTTTAAAATCGATTCAAGTCGACCGATGACATAATCTAGTCTAATATTTGGTAAAGCGGCAACTCCTCATATTCCGTAGTTGGAATTTACTGTAATTTTTTTTCTGGTTATTCCGTACCCAAGAACTCCTCCTATTTAAAATTTAAATATACAGGGTGAGGTGAAAAAACTGCAACCAACTTCAGACTGCTGTCATTTCCAAGCCACAGCTGTTAAAATTTTTCCAGTGACAGCTCATTATATTGTTTACAACCGTACAAAAGTTATTCGTGATGGAATTTAAGCGTGATAGTGTGATTTTTTTATTTGGCTGGAAAACCACAAGTGGCTATCGTTAGAGCACTCCAGCATTTAAATGTGAATAAATCTTTTGTGTTTCGTGCCATCGTTACCGTGAACAGCAAACATCAGCAGAAATGCTACGAAAAGTAAAGAAGCGACTTGATCGAAACCCGCGTCGCAGGGGTCGAAAAATGGCTCGTGAGCTGAACATATCGCAATATTCCATTCGGCAAATATTGAAAAATCAGCTCGTGGTAAAGCCATTGAAATTCCAAAAAGTGCAAGAAGTTACACCGCAACAGAAAGTAAATAGACTGAAAAGAGCTAAAGAGTTGCTTCGCTTGGCCGAAAGTGGTGAACTGCCGCATTTGGTCGTCTCCTATGAGAAACCGTTAATCCAAAATTTAATGCTATTTCCGACATTTTTGCTTTAGTTCAATATAATTAAAAAAAAATTAATTAATATGGTGTTTGACTTTGTTGCAGTTTTTTTATCTTACCCTGTAGACCCACATTTAAACATAAGCCCAATACAGCGGGTTAGCTCATTTTCCTACCAAAACAGACCACCTCTTGTCAAATATAATAGATACTAGCTGGAAAATTTTCCTCCAACAACAGCTGGAACCCCAAAAAATGAGAATATTTTGACTTTGACCACATTCGCAAACCTAATTGGCTGATGTTTGACTTTTTGGGGTTTTAGCGAGAGCCTAAGCAAGCATTTCTGTCAAAATGTCCAATATTGGTATACCCTAATATATCAGTTTAATTTTCATTAAATACTCAACTGATACTAATTTAAAAACGCAGCCATTACCAGATTGAAGAGTATTGATTTTTGTAACGAAAAAAAAGTTGTCACGTTAGAGCCTGATCAAGAGAAACCTAAGTGTACATTTTATGGAGAAGCAATTCTTTTTCTGAATGAATATAGCTTAGCTAATACAATGTAGGAAAACAAAATTCAAAAAATTGTGAACCTATTTCGTCTAAAAAAGCCAACAATAGCATCCAATCTTTTTTTTCATCTATTTTTGGAAACAGCTCCGTCTTAAAATATTGAAAAACATTCTGGAAAAATAACTAATTTAAATGTACACGGTAAATTATAGAAACTCGGGTTTTGGTTACTTCTAGAAAATATCTGTATTTCGACAATATGTTTTCATATTGATAATCTAAAACAAATTCTCTTACAGCATTGATGTGTTGCTTCCATATACTAAAAAGGAGTTTCCCTACCAGGACGACCAGATCCGACATAAATTACATGTTATATGAAAATTGATCTCTGAGAGAAAATTCTTGAAGTCAAAAACTTTTGCCACAATAAATTTGGTTGTAATAAATTTCTTCCTCACATAAAAACCACAAAAAGTTGGTATTAAAACTCTGTTCTGTTTCCTTTACTGAAACCATTTGTTTTCAAACTACAAAGTTTTAATAAAATGTTTAAAAATTGAAATTAATATATTAGTGTAAAATGATCTAGCAGTTCAAATTTTATGACTTTGAAAGAATCGTTTACATAATTCCTATTTTTCTTTCCCCCCAAATGTTCATACGTGAGTGTGTGTTTGGGTATGTGTATGTATTTATTTAACTAGTACATAGTATTATAAAATCTCTTAAAACAATCGAAAAAAAGAAACGAATTGCATTTTGCATTGTCTTTAAAAAATAAACTTTGTGGTTATTACTGTTGTTGTTGCTGCTCTTGTTTTCGTCATCGCTGCTGTCAGTTTGAATTTTATTTTCTTGTTGTTGCTGATTTTATACCAATTATGACGTAGTAAGTAAATGTTGCTGATGAGTATATTTCCGGCAGTAGAAATACCGTTTGTTTTATTTCTTCGATTTTCTTTATTTTTGTGTGTGTTTTTTTGTTTTTATTTTATATTGAGTTTAAATTTTAATTGATTTTTGTTGTCTTTTGTTTGCTTGCTTGCGCTGTTTCGTCGTTAATTTTATGAAAAACCTTTGTAGTGGACAAAGAAGAATATTAAGAAAATGGCGTATGCTGTTGGAAACGTAATCCTAGCAATTACATCTATAGTTTTTGCGATACGTATAGGATGTGGCGGTTCTTTCTTGCGCACTTGGACAAAGCAAGTCTGAAAAGAGAGAAGATGGGAAAAATACGAAATAAATATTGAAATTATTATTAAGGATATGAAAATTATTTAAATTATTGTAAGGAAGTAATTATTTTGTTTTTCGTCGTACAAATACAAATATATTTTTAATTTTTCTACAAATTATGTAATAAAGTCCATATGCGATTTTACAATAAAATTTGAATGTATTCATACTTTCCCAGGGAGTGGTGAGTTGAACATAACCACGAGCGGGAGTGCTCAAATAGTAGTTTTGAACAGAGTTCACGTTTCACTATTTTGCTTCTCGTCTGCACTGGATCTCAAATTTTGTTTTACATACTTCACCATAATATATACAACATCGTAATATTATTATCAGGCTTAGATCGAGGTCGGAGATGGACAATCTCAGTTCACTCCTTCTGGTACCTCCCCACTTGTAGCTCCCACACAAAGGGTCAACATTTGAAATAATTATAACTCTTTTAAAATGCGAAATAAACATCAGTTTCTCGCCAATTTTCGTACATCACAACATTTTTATTAACCCAAGATCTGGAGTGCAGATGAAATATAGCAGACCTTCTAGTACCTCCCCCACAACGGGTTAGAATTTTGAATAACTATGAAGCCCATAAAACGCGAAATGAGCATCCGATTATTTTCAAACTTAGAACATCTCAATATTTCTGCTAACACAAAATCTGGTGTGAAGATGTGTTTATTATTACGCTATCTTTCGAACAATATGAGACAGAAGGCTAACATTGTGCACACACGAGTATTATGTCAGTAGGCAGGTTAAGTTCGTATGGGCTATGTCGGCCCAAATTTCGGATAACCCCCATATAAGTGTACCACCCGATATTCGGCATTTTTGGCGATTTAGATCATATGCTCAAACAGAATTATTTAAAATTCGGTAGTTAGAGTTTGTGATGGGTTCTACCTCCTGTGACAGAGCTTTGTCTATATAGGTCAACAAACAATGGTATCTCCAGATATTCGGTACTTTAGGAATTTAAGCCACATTTTTAAAGGGAAATTAGAGTTTGTAACGGGCCACCTGTGGCAGAAAGTTATCTGTATCGGTCCACGTTTTTATGCGCTTCGTATACAATTTTGTATGTAGGGTTTGTAATGGGCCCTGTCTTCTGTGGCAAAAGACTGCTGAAATAGGCTCATTATTTCTTTCTCACTCATGAGCGTACCTCCGAACATTTGGTATTTTTTGATTTTAGCCACCTTTTTTCAGATTTTTTTTATTTGGTATTTGTAACTCGCAATGGAAAACAACCAACGTAGGAGCAAATTGGTACTATCGAATTTAAGTAATTTTTAAGACTTTTTACCAACCGATTTCACTGGCAAAAATGGAAGTGGACCAATATGAAATCCCGATTTTTTTTTTCATTAAAGGGTTTCCTTACCTTCGGCCCGAACATAACGCTATTTCACTTGTTTAAATGTTATATATGATTTTTCGAAATTTTCACCATGTGTGGCGAATGCGGGGACCAGTGAATTCCAGTTATAAATAGAAATCCTGATTTTTTTTTTTTCAAATATAGTCCCTTTACAAATGCCATAACGAAATAACGTGTTTATACCCCATATCCAAGCTCCGATTTGCTTGATATTCCTCTCGAGTCTTATATAGGAGCTCTCGCGAATACTCCTATGTGAAAAATACTCCTTATTCGCGGGAATCAAGTGGAAAATATTTTCCTGTAGATTTGCGCATTAGTGTGTTTCGAACATTGTACTTCATAATTATTACCAAGATTAGACCTACATCGAAGATGAACAGTATTGGTCTACTCCTTTGGTTTTTTCTTAACAAAAGTTACAAATTTTCAAAGAAAATATAGTCATTGCTCTTTAAAATGTAAAATAAGTCTCAAATTTACTCCAAACTTTGCAGATATTAAAAATTTCTATCATGTGATGCATTGGATAATGGGATAGGCAATAATATTTTGAAAAATTCTGTGCTTCATAAAAAGCGAAGGAAGTAGCCGTGTTGGCCAAAACTTCGAATTTAAATCAGGCTCAAAGTACAAAACATATGTTGTATAACATAGATTTTCCTTAAATATGGGTTAAATCTGTTTCTATTTCATAAATGGCAAACTCAACAAATTCTATAGAAATTTATGTGAAATCTCATATTCAATTCTCACACAAAATCTAGATGTTGATAAAAATATTTGGAAGTTCAAGTTTTTATGAAAATCGGGAATTATTCATTCCTAAGAGTTATAAATATGACAAATGTTTACCTTCAGAAGGAATGGACGGATATTGCCATATTTATTCCAGAATTAAGACATTCCATAATTTTTTTTTTTATTTTTTTTAAATATTCACAGATTGCTAATAGCAAAGGATTTATATTGACATTTTTCAAACTTGATGGAAGTTTAATAGAAATATTACGACATGCAAGGTTTGGACCAAAGGTGAAGTTTTCTTGCTCATCAGGCAGACAGACGTAGGGAAATTGCTAAATCGACATCAATGTCATGAAACGGGTCCAGGCGTAGGGTTTAAAATCCTTATTTCATACCCTCTGTAGCCATAAGACAGTTGGCAATATAGACACTTTACAAATTTTAAGCTAGTAATAAATATATATACCAATGTATTTTGAAAAGTTTCCAAAATTTTTAAAGTTTTATGAATAAATTTAAACATGTAATGAAAATAATTCAAACAAATAGAAATTTTATTGTTTAAAAGTCTACCATTCCGTGTTATGGGTTCACACGAACAACATTTTATTAGAAATAATTTTTGTTTTTATTAATTTATTAAATTTTATTCTTGTCTCATTTTCCGAAAAAAAAACGAATGGGAAAACAAATTGTGAATTTTCATGGGCTAAATTCTACTTACCTCTGTGGCACAGCCATTATTGGCTGAGTGTGTACAGGGGGTGCCGCTGTTGCCACCGCATGTTGTACATGCAACAATCTCATTGGGTCCACCGGTGTCACGTTTCTTTTCACCCTGATAGACGGCAGTAAATTTGAAAAACTTTTGTTATAATTTCGAAATTTAAGCATGTTGAGAGTAAAGCACGTACAAAGCAGAAAAGTGTGCGTACAAAACGGACACGCACATATCACATATGATGTATTATTATATGTAGGTCAATTTTAATAAAACAGGTATCATTTTTTGAAAATAATCAAACCAAAAAATAAAAATAAACCAAATTGTTATAAATTCAAACCAACAACAATGGCAAGAACAAAAACCAAATATGTAAATGCATTCCATACACAAATATACATAAAATATTTTGTTTCGTAATTGTTGAAATTATTTTGATAGTCAAAAATTAAATACATCAGGAGATTATATAAATAAGTATGAATTAACAACAACAGCATACACATACAATTGATAGGTATATTTTATTTATTTAATTACCACATAAAACCAAACAAAAATATATATATGTCGAACATTAGAGGTTATGTATGTCGATCGATATTACATGGCATTGTTTTACGTTATATTGGTAAGGGTAGTACATACATACATATATGTAATAGATATATAGAAGTATACAGCGAAGTAATGTTACACACAGACAAATAGACACATTTATAATAACAAAAGTAATTACAGCAAAAAAGCACATAAAAAAAGAATGGAAAAAGATACACAAAATTACTGTTGAAATAATCCATTGGAATAAACATAAATATTATAATACGTATGTATGTGTGTGTGTGTGTGCATGTTTGTGTAGATGTGTGGATAATTTCAAAAATTTGTCAAATTGATGAAGCGTGTTTCAATTTATGTTTGGGGTTTAGTTGAATTTTTAAGAAGACTATTTGATTAGGATTTTTAAATATAAAAAAATATTTTAGGAATAGGAATTTCAAACTATTTATGTTTTGCAGAACGATTTAAATATTACGATGTGAGAAGTTTTGAGGATCTTCACCTTCTGAGTCGATTTATGCATGTCAGTCCGTCCGTCAGCCTAACCGTTTATCCATGTATTTTTGGGAATATTTTTGAAACAATATTTGTTTGGCCCAAGGACGATACCTATTGCAATTGGCGAAAATCGGCTAAAATTTAGATATAGCTCCCATACACATCTTCAAATAATTTCTGGTTATTTGTGCGCCAATTGGCCAATGTCAGTCCAAACATTCATTTTGGCACATGCAACTGAATTCAGTCTAGGAGCAAGTACATAAAGTTTGGTGAAAATCAGTTCAGATCTAGCTATAGCTCCCATATATATGTTTCATACGACTTAGGGTTTTAAATCCTTCACATGTGATATATGCACATCACAACAATGATATTTGGTAACAGATATCAAATACAGCTCAGAAATAAGTACCCGAAATGTTCTAAAGATCGGTTTAAATATAAATAAAGATCCCATATAAATCTTCAACCGGTTTCAGATTAATTGTGCCCCAATTGGGCAATATCAACCCAAATTGAGCGAATTGTGGCACATCCGACCGTATTCCGTTTAGAAAAAAATATAAAATTTAGTGAAAATCGGTTCAGATATAGAAAAAGCTCCCATATATATTTCTCATCCCATTTGGGGGTTTAAGTCCTCACATGCGTAATAAGCACTCCACAACAAGGATATTTGATACCGGACATCAGATACAGCTCGAAAATGCTTCTGCCAAATTTTATCGAGATCGGTTCAGATTTTTATGTACCTTCGATATACACCTTCACCCGATTTTATGGCTATTGTCCACCATATATGTAAAATCAGCCCAAATTGGATAGATTTTTTCATCATCTCAAGTTAGGTTCTTAATCCATCCTAATTTAGGTTTCATGGTGATATTAATATTTAAATTCGCAATATATGGAGCATATCGGGAAACCGAACCATAGTTTGGATTAGGCCGATCTTAGATGTAGATTTAGGCCGATCTTATCAAATTTGATACGTGTTCCAAGGCTGACATAAATATTGCCATATTCGGGATTACGCCCAAATCCGACGCTTCATTTGCTTTCTATGACAGATTTTACTATTTTGCAAATTTTGATTTTTTGTGGAAAAGGAACCAGAAGATACTATTTTTATTTGAATTTGTCCTAAGCTGATAAAAATATTGTACTCTACAAATTTTAGATGAAATCGGAGTTATATTTCGTTCTAGGATAATAATCTGAATTGGATTCCGTTCACAGATACATGGGTTCTTAAGTTGTTCTTACGTTCCTTTAATGCATAAGGTTGAGGGTATAACAAGACCTTTTTGGCTTTACTTCTTTTGTATGTTCCATGTAGATTTAAGCTGTATCAAATCCATAACTATAACCATCAAATTTGATATGGGACATATATAACTAAATATCTATACATTCATATCATCGGGTTGGAACACGGTATAGCTTCCAAATAAAAGTTTTTGCCCGAATTCTTATTTAATCTATATGAAATCTTCTTGGGAGCATATCCACTAAGTGTCCAGAGTGACGTAGTTTTAGTTTTAAGTAAACCAAAACATAGATTTTGTAAAAATGGTATTTCATACGTTAACTTTGTATACCCTACAAGACCATGCGTTGGGGGTATTATAAGTTTGATTGGGCCAAAAATTATGTAACACCTCGAAATATTGGTCACCGACATAGGAAACTATATATTGAACTTCCCATCTCGCCGAGCTGTGTAACAGTTCACAATTATGGTCCAATCCTCACGAAATTGAAAAAAGAGGTGGGGTTAGGGTCAAAGCCTACTGTTTTTGGATATGATTGCAAAATATTTAGTAGTTAAAATGGACTTAAAACATGAACATTTCCTATTTTTTGTACTTTTGCATTGAGTTAGAAGTTAAGGTTGGACAGTTGCCTACCAATTTAGACAATATTATCGGACAATATTTAGCGGATAAAATGAACCCTAACTCTTATATCCAAAAATACGAAAATTTCCACGAAACTGCGAATATTTTTAATACCGGCGAAATCTATGCTGATATTTTTTAAGGCATGGGATTATTTTTTGACTTACAATTTTGAATTGTACAATTTCAACATTATATGTATATATATAGGTCGCAATAATCGTTCCATCCTCACGAATTTATGTATGGTGGTAGGGTTAGGGTCAACATCAAAGCCTTTTGTTGTTGAAGATGTACATTTAAGAATTCAAATGGACAAAAAAAATTAAAATTTTCCTAATTTTGCAGTTGCTCTACAGGTCACAATAGAAAACAAATCGACACGGAATTTTGCATGAGAAGAGAGTTAAGGACAGAAGTCTAGAATTTTCGATGACCATTGGATTATATTTAGCTGTAAACTAGATCACAACTTTCGCGTGAAATTGTTTTGAATACCTAACAACACGACAACAAAAATCTAACATCTGGGCAGGGCTCCATAATATAATTTCAAAAACGAAATCTTCAAAAATGGATTTGGACATGGACATGGTCACATGGCCCCGCACGACTATAGTCTTTGCTTTTTTGTTGTAAATTTGTTTTTATACAGCTAATTTCGAATGGTCGACAAATTTTTGCAAAATTGGTTTTCGATTTGCAGCTGAAATAAAATTTTATATTTATTTATCTTGGCCAGTTGCAAAACTTAACCACAAAAAAAAATCGCAGATCGGATCATTAATTCATTATTACAACATATGAATGAGTCTTGAGATAAGTAGTTATTACTTGACTGAAAGTATGTGGGCAAATGAGTAGTTACTTATTTGGCAGTAGCCAAAACACCATTGCAAAGGAATAACTCATTTCGAGTGACTTGTACGATTATACAATGGGTTGGTAATCCGATTTGTAATGAGAATTTACAGTTTTTGTGTTATATCTTCATTACTTCTTTAATGGACCTTGTTGTAATTTTAAATTTCACCAAATTATACAAATATTTTGAAATTACCACATGACTATGAACGATACGAACGGATATGAGAACTTAAAGAAAATAACAACTGCATTAATATAGTTAAATTTACACTGAAATAAAAAAATATCAAACTCAACGATATTGTATTCTATAAGAAAGAGAAGAATATAAAAAGATGAGTTCACAGTGAAACCTTTCACAAGTGAACACCGAATTCTAAGAGAACAACTAGAATGGGATTATCCAAACAATCGAGGTGTCCACTTGTGGCAGGTATTCAATCATGATAGGTTTTACTGTATGAATTGTATTTATTTATTTAATGCACAACATTCATAGAATGGCATAGAATGAAATAGTACAACAGGATGTGAGCGAGTGAAGGAGAAGAGAATTGTTAGCTGATACTTACGGGCTGTTGCATGGAGTGTCAGTAACACAAACAAACAGAGGCATAATTTTTATTTATCGTTATTGATGACAATAATTCCATTATTGTTGTTGTTGTTTTTTTGGATGTTGTATTGTAGTTCAATTGATATTTTTTTGTTTTGGTTATTAGTTGAACATTTGGTTAGTAGCCAAGTGGGGTAGACGCACACAGACAGATACGCATTTTTTTTTGTTTTTAGAATAGCAAAAAATCAGGAAAAAGAAGTATAAAAATTCCATAGAAAAGTTATTGTTTTTGGTTTTTTTCTTATTACATTTACAAAAACAATATATTTGGTAATGTAGGTGGTGTTTGGTCGTCGTCCGTATCATGTATCATGTTCCCATCTAATGTAGTCTTATCTGTCCAACAATGAATTTTAGAAAAATGTTAGAATTAAAAAAAATAAATGCTTAATATTTAGAGAGGCCGAAATCATAAAATTACGTAATTTTACAATTTTAATTTTAAATTTCATTGCTGAACAAATCATCGCCTCCCTTTATGGTTATGTAAAATATCAAGTGCTTTTCATTGAAACTCAATGTATGTTAAAAGTGTCCATTTATCTGTCAGCAAGTTTAGTTTTAGTATACAATCTATAATTATACATATTTTATGAATTTAGCTGGGTATGGAAGTATATTTGCTGTTTTCTATTGGCATGAGAATTTAGCTAAGTAATTTT